TCTACTATTAATAGATATTAAGTAAAAAAAAAATCAAAATTATTAGATTATATAAACCCTAGTCACCTAGAATAAAATTTGTTCAAGATTATATTAAGTATTTTAAATAATAATAATAACCTTATAAAAAATCTTTTTTAATTTAAATATCTATTTGATGACAATTTATGCTAATTGTAAAGTTGCAATAGGCTACAATTAATTTATTATTTATATAAAGATTGTTAAAAATAACTAGAAGTAATTGTTTTAATAAAGATTTTATATTTAATGTTTATTTGTGATTTTTAAAAAAAAGTCATAAAAACATATTTTATAGATTTTTAATAAGCTTACAAAATTAATAAATCAAATATAAAAAATATTTTATATAATGAATAAGAAACACAATATCAAAAATAAAACAATAAAAAATAAAAGAAGCTTTTAAAAAAGTCATATTCCAGAAGCAAATGCAATAACAAAATATTTTATTTGACATTAAATAAATTAAAAATATACTGTATATATATTTGCAAAACTAATTTTATAAAATAGATAAAACCTTGACAAATTAATCAAATATATGCTAATACTTGACAATAAGCTGCCATGGTAGGAATTATTCTTTGGTGAGTTTAATTAAATAGATAGAGAAATAAATTTGTATATACTCATTAAAAAATATTTAATAAACAATATGTAAACCACCCGTTTTAAAAATATATACAATATATATTGTAATTTAGATATATAATTATTATTTTAACAACAATTAATTGTATTTATTTTCTTCAGTATTAATTTAATGATACCATATTTTTATTTCGGAATCGACGCAAGTCATGTGTCATATTATTTCTGATAAAACCTTCAAAAATATATTCCTTTATTGCATTGGCTAAGATGATTATTAAACAAAAAAGTAAAAGAATAGTGATAAGACCGGATAAATCTGACGTGATACTTTTTATAATCCTTCTCCTTTCTTTACAGGTTTTTCGGCATTCTCGCGTCGATCGGTCACGTAACTAATTTACTACTTTGAATACTTCCAACTCTTCGGCAATAAACGTATTCGTGTCCAAAATTCGTTTATCGTAAGAATTTTGGTTACACGTTCCATTTATACCGTCCGAAAGCAGCAAATCGCTAGCTCCAAAGTTTAACATATTATTATAATCATATACACCATTAGATCCAATAAATCGACCAATTATTCCAATTTTATCTCTAAAACTTTTAAAGGAAAATATAAAATGATTGCTGTTGTTATTCCAATAGTTAATGTGACTATAAGAGTATGAATTATAGTATTGATTGTTACTCCATCCAGTAGCGTTGAATCCGCCAATTATGGTTTCTGAACCCTTTATCTTGACGACTGCAATTGCTGGACCTTGATTGTTTACTTTTTGACGAAACGAATTAATATTCAATCCATCACGAGTTCCGCGATAGAGTAGAGTAAATTGACTTCTGTTTTCTTTAGATATAACCGCATCCTTTCTTTTAATCCAATTATAAATAACGTCAGCATGGTTTCTTGTAAAAATTTTGGACCCATCTATAAAGGAACTGACTCGTGCCAAAAGTTTTCTTTGCTTTGGTTCTGTTCCAGCCATTAAGAAGGACATAACGTCTTCAAAAAGTGATTCTGGTAAAATTTTTCGAAACGGACGAACCTTACAGAAGAAATCTTTCGATGAAATTTCATGGAATCTAATATACGGAATGAAAGGATCTAACGTTCCTTTTAAATTCTTGAAATCCTTTTCCGAAAACTTCTTCACATCTGACGGTTTCATTTCTTTAATTCCTGATGTTTGGAAAATTCCCCATGAAATAAGACGTTCCCAGATATCTACCTCTTCAATTTTAAGTTCATCGCGCTTAATTAATTCCAAGAAAATATCCTTTTTAAAAGATGAAAAATTCTCAGAAGAAAAGAAAGGCTTGGGGTCATTGGATATAGAATCTAGACAATAGTCTACAAGTTTTTTGCAACAGGAAAGCTGAAAAATGGTGTGTAATGTTGTAATAAAATTACTATTAAGCCAGGATGCCTCTCGTTCAATGAGATAATCTTGAATATGATCAAGTAATTCTCTAAGGAGTAATTCATCCGATGCAACAAGAAGGTCGAGAACGTCGGTATTAGAGATTTTATTTAAATCAAGATTTCCGGAATAGATATACCTGGTAATAGATTTAAATTTATAAATTTTGAAACCTTTTAGTTTATAGAAGAGTAAAAAAATTAAATAATATTTACTTAAGAATTAATGCAAAAACGACCGGGGAAATATTCGGCTTATTAAATAAAATGATTCCATCTTTAATGGTAACCCATGAATCGGAGAGTGCCCTCTTAAAATAAGGTGAACGTGCTCTTAAAATAACAGAATGTGCGCGAAATTCTTGAGTTTTGGAATTTTCCCCAACTTTAATTTTAACGTTATAATCATCCGCGTCTTCAAGAAGTTGGGAGAAGTCTTGAGATAAATTATCATAGAACCTTGTCTTCATTTCGTATTTCTCTGTAATTTAACAAATGATCTGTATGGTCAATTAAAAATCCGGGAGAAACTTTTAATAAACCCTTTCCGTTTAATTAATTATACTAGAAAAGCGAGATATATTATGTTTATTTATCAAATGAGAATAATTGACTACTAAATTTACAAGATACTCATCGTTACCATAAGTCAAATTTATTTGGAAAATAAATAATTACTATCAATAACTATTGTGATGGTCAGTCAGAAAGTCTGTCTGTCGCAGAGTTTCGCGTAACCGTCAATGGGGTAAGTGATTGAAAAGTCAAGAGGCGATTTTTTATTTGATCAAGTAAAAATGCATTCACTGCTTTATTGTCTCTTCTTTTATATGTTTTTTCGAAAGGGACGACTACTATCACAATTAAAAGTATGGTGAAATTATTACCTAAGGTCCTTTCACAATTCTCTCTTATTACATAATACAATATTTTATTACAATCATTCTTATTAAATAATCGCTTGCCTCAATACCCCAATTACATAATTTCTTTAATAAGTTCTTAAACAGAATCGTCTGTCACAATCCCTTCTTTATTATATAATTTTTTCACAATACTATCGCGTTCCTCCGATCAAAACGGGCACATTTTATCCTGACACTATCTTAGTATCTTGATAAATGTAATATAATGTTTTTTAAAAACAATGGACATATAAAGCTTGAAAAAAAAATTATTATTATTATTTTTAAATTTTACTTGATAGGTATTTTAGAGACTTGCATTTTGTATCTTTACTTAAATAATAACGAATTGGTTATTCAAGTTATTATTTTACAGTATATCAATTTTTTTTTTGTTTTTAATATGATTTTAAAATTAAAATTATATATACTGCATATACGTACTGTATATTTATATTACTTTTGGTTTAATTTTTTTTTCCTATAAATCAATTTACTGTAATTTAAAAAATAATATATCATTTTAATGATATTTAAATATTTAAATTTTAAAACAATTACTTATAACAAATTAAATAAATGAATATTATTATAAAAATCTTAAAAATATCAATTAAATTAATATTAAAGCTATTGATACATTTGTTTATTGTTAACTGTAATCATCTAAAATATATTCAAATTAATTTTATGTATTTTAATAAATTTATCATAAAATTTTGATTTTTAAACTAAAAAAATTTATATATGAAAATTTATATATCAATTGTAATTGAAGAAACAATTTTTACTATATAAAAATTTTTTTAAAAAATTATTTATTAAATTAAAAAAAAAAAAATTTAACTAATAAAGAAAAATTATAAAATGTGTTTTTTATAATTTACAAATTATTTTTATAAAAATTTTTTTGTTTTTATTTTATAAATTAATTTTTAAAAATTTTTTTAAGTTTTGATTTAATATAAATTTTTAAAATTTTTTTTTTTTTATTAAATTTTAGAGTAATTTATTTAATTAAAAATCAATTAATTAGGTTAAAATTGATTAAAAGTTATTTTTTTACTTAATTTTGATTTTATTTTACAAATTAATGAATCTGACTATTGTATATAATTTATTTGTTTATTTATTATAAGTTAATTAAATTAAAATTTTTAAAAAAATTTTTTTATGATTATCAATTGATTTTCAATAAATCTTAATAATATATTAAAAAAAATCTATTAAGTAAATTTGTTTTTTATATTGTTATTATTATATATTCAAATTTTTATTTATTTTATTGAGTGATTATTGAATTATGAATATAAATTAAATTAAGAATTTGTTCAAAGACTTTTTAGACAAACTGTATATACAACATATATTACTATTTACTATTAATGCCATATAATTATCACAAATGTATCTTCGAAATTATATTCAAATGGAGTTACAGGATCCCTTGTTAGTTTAATAGAATCGTTTTTTTCTTTAATATTTAATTCTGTAAATATTTTTTTACTAAATAAAATCTCGTAATTGTAAAAAAAAATTCAAAATCCCTTTTTAGTTATTATACCGTAATTTAAAGAAAATAAAATTATAAAGTGTATGAAATTTAAAGATACAGTATAAGCAAAATCGTGATCTTTTATTGTATTATCGTTAAAGTACGTAATTAGATGCGAGTTGAAAGAATACTTTCACTTGAACAGACAACCAATTATATGTTATAATCTCAATAACTCGAATTCGGTTAATCAAGATTGGTCACGACTATACCATTTTTATAAGAAATGTTATACTGTATATTTATACCATAAACTCTCAAGCTTGAAATTTTTAACGTCACGTAAACACAATGTTTTTCAAAGAAAATTTGCAACTTTGATTTATTGATTTATGATTTTTAGTAGTCAGATGACAACCATATAATATAATAAAAATTGAATATCATGATAGTAATAATAAAAATAATTAAGAAAAAAAATGCTGAACTATATTATACTTATATAATATCTAATTTAAAATATCTAATTCAAAAAGAATATAATCGTGTATGCAATTATAAACTATAAACTATAAGGACGATTCTCCGGGTCAACTTCCACAACAGGAACAAAATATTGCGCGGTTTCTTGTTCGTTTTCAACAAAACTTTGTTCTTCAGATTTAGAACTTGAAGCTTTATCACTTTCTTCTTGTTCTCTAAGTAAAATCTCCACGACTCTTCCAACATTACCATTATATCTCTTCAACAAATCCTCGTATTTAGCATTATCATATACGAATCCCATAGAGTTTAAAGTTTTGAGCTTATCTGCTAATTGTTCAGAGGTAAGATGTTGGTTGAAATTGTGGTAACCTCGAAATCTCCTACATTCGGGACGTGGACCGTAACCGTTTACACAAGGACCAGCACGGCTGTATTCTGCAGTTTTGTTAAATCTGGAGGAGGAATTATAACCGCTGGAATTTCTACCACAATGATTCTTGGCACCGTAATTTCGGTAATTTTGACATCCGCCAAACGAAGGTCCAAACGTAGATCCAAAAGGAAATTGACCTAAACCGAAAGGTTCAAATTCTAATGTACCGAAAAGATCAAAAAGAGGACCAAAACTCGGTGGACGATTGAATTTTATAAAAATGACATCATCGTCATCTTCATTCTCTTTATTCTCTTTCTCTTTCTCTTGTCCTCTTACGCTGGATTCGGAAGATTCTTGTCTCTCGGATTTTTCTTTATTACTTTCATCGGCAATGAATTCATACAACTGTTCCTCGGTTTCTTCATCAGCAAAACCTACATGCCTATATGCAGAAGAAGGTCTTGATTCGGATTTAGGCTGGGTTTCTGGAATTTCTTCTGTGTCTCTACTAGTAACAATAGGTCCGTTATCGCGAGCATGTCCGGTAGATGTGTTTAGGAATAGTTTTATTGGGTGACCAGCTGATTGCTGAGAAATAATTTCTTGAAGTTCCAAATCACTAGATATGGTAATATTATCACCCTCGTCATCAGTATAGGAGACGGTAACTGGAGTAGAGGGTGGAATGAAGAAAAGGGTTCGTAATTGGGATTCAAGACCGGAGAAAGTAGAATTGGGGGAAAGGGTAAACCGACGGGTTGCAGTCTCGTGAACTACTTTAATGGTTGCCATTTTTCTTTTATGTAATAAAACCTGGTGTTTTGTAAATTGATTTGATTTTTTATGTGATAAAACTTGTTTTTTTAAAAGATGTAAATTGATCGAGTGAATGTTTGAATTTCCCCCACATCTTTTACCACAGCCTTTTATAGTTTTTTCTACACGATCAACTTTACTACGGATCCCTTCGAGAAACTATTATTAATAATCAAGAAATAAACGCAAGCGTATTCGTACTATGTACACGCACATCGTATATTGTTACGTATACGTAAACGTACGTATGTACGTAGATATAATCACGTGATCCGTCATTTCGTATGCATGATTACAGATCAAAAAATGGAAGGTTCAGGTGAGTTGTAGCAATTATCGTACTTTGTCACGTGATAACCACCGTTCTAATAATACCTTTCGCAAACGATCGAGTTGATGAACATTTACCATTGGACAAATCTCCAATTTTTACTTGAACATATGTGCAACTCTGCAATTTTGCTAAGACAAATGATAAAGTTAATGATCCGGATAATTATGAATTCGAGAAATTGTATATATGCGTTGGTCGAGATAAGTATTTCACAAATATAACATACAACAGTTATTATAGTATATCTTATTTTTAATAAATAATTCAATTATCGAAATACAAAATTATTGTTATACTATATATCAGGATTTAATTATTATAAAATGTAGAAAAAAAAAATTCTTTATTTATTAATTACTAATTGTCCGAAGCGTAGCGAAGGACTTTACACTACAATCCAAACTTGAAAATGTCTGTCTGTCACTAATGAACTACTGCCAATAAAATTTTAGAATTATGCAATATCACTAATAATTTTTAGCTTCGGACGCTTAAACAGTTCCTCTTACCTAGTTATGCCATCTTATTATTATTATTATCATTTTACTTTGAAATTTATATGATAAATTATAATTTTGTCGAATTTTGAAATTTTAAAATGATGTTGAAAAGTAATGATTTTGTTAATTTGATATCACCAAATTTTATTAAATAAAAATTAATGATTGCTTAAAATTTCAAAAAATATTTTATTGGATTTTTTTTTTTTTGTATTTAAATTATATTAATAAATTCAATGATAATTTATTTAATTAAATCAGTGAATTATCTAAATAATAAATAACTTATAATATAGAATAACTTGCTTTTTTTTTTTTTGAAATCAATAAACTATTATCACTATTATAGTTTTTAGATTTTAAATTTCTCAAATTATAATAATCTTAAAAATAGCGTGGTAGTATAAATGATTTTAAAAAAATAATTGAAAATAAAATACAGTAACAAACCAATGTCAAATTAAAAATGTAGAAATTTATGAAAGTTTTAAATTTTTATAAACCGAAAAGGTTTTTTAAGACCACTTCTATATTATGCACAATAAAAATAAATTCAATATGCTGTACAAAATTAAATATTATAAAAGGTTTGATAATTGAAATTTATTTTTTAAAAAATTTTTTTTTTAATTTCGTTAACATGCTGGGTATGGTTTATGATGTTTTGTGAAAAAAAAAATCCAAGTCCACTCCAATATTAAAGATTTTATTTTATGTAAATGTAATACGAAAACAAATTTTTTATATAGTATAGTTTGAAATAATATGCCCGCACCAGTCTGAATTTTTATTAAATTAAAAATGTTTTGTGAATTCATAACTTATACATTTATAGAAACGAAAACTACAAATAAGGAAGACCGGTGAAAATTATAAGTTTCACACCTCTTGTCGAATATAGCATGACGAGTAAAGCGCGCTGTGATACATTACGTAGAGCGACTCGCCGATTTGCTCGCGACAATATTAATAATTAATTGTAATCAATCTAAATTGGTAATTACAATGTTCATTATAATAAAGTGACATGTGCAGTGTTTAATGTGGTGTCCGTAATTAAGTTTCAAAGTATAAGCTTTTTCACAGGTGCATCTTGAATTGTGTGTATCTTCAACGGTTATTTAAAAAATAGTCGAGAGTCCCGAGACTATGTATTTTAGGTTATTTGACTATATCTGGAATGCAATGCTGCAATGCTATGCATCTGCACGAATTTGCACAGAAGGCTAAATTAACTGACGCTCGATTGGGGTTTATACAGTTTACTATATCCAAAAAATATCGAATA